AAAAAATTCCATATAAAACACCCAAAAAGTCTTTTCAGCGAAAATTAAATTCCAGCTTAAATAAAGTATTTTACAGTAGTAGGAATTTTTCATGAAAGTCACATTTCGTGTCATATGACCCAAGAAATTTCTTTTGATTTTCACCCATTCAAGAAATTCGCAAACATTCTCTAAAACATGACTATTTTGACATACTTCTGTATACTTCATGTATAAAAGTGTATGTGCTGCTCAGAGCAAACAGAGTAACGGTACTCATCATTTCTGTGGTGATCTGACACAATAAATGGCACTATACTCATTCATTCCTAGCAGTTGGGTATAGATAGACAGAATAAAATCTCTACAGTACGGTACAGTGAATAGGTCTGCCTAACTGCACACAAATCACCAGAGTACAATTTAAACAGTATGTCCCAACTTGCCTAACTCTGCAAAGCCCATCACAAACTGGCAAAAAGCAAACTGTGATTATGAATACAGCTGACACTGCAATAAAAAAGATGGAAAACACTTGCATTGATGAACTCCTTAATCTGTCATCAATTCTTGTCACCTTTCTATTCACATGCGCTGAACATCATTGACATTTTCAAATTTGGTCAGCATAAAAATTACCAATAATGAAAATTTTCAAATTATTTTTTGTGTTAATTTCTATTAGGTCTGCAGCACTACCAACTCTCATTACAATTTGGGAAAAAAATTTTTTTTAAAGAAATCAAAATTGCAAAATTGTGTTCAGATGGTGAAAGATTTGAATCTGGTGTATAAAATTTGCGAAGTATTCATAAAGGGTTAGTTGCACACATAAGTAGGCACTGGTCGGCAAATATTAATTCTCGCTACTACTATGAACAAACTGGCATGCTAGCTGCTGGCAGTTACGCAGTATTGTTGATAAACTGCTTCTATCTAATACTTCTAATAAAGATGAATTTTATTCAATTAAAAATAAATATGACTTTCTTATGGCAGCGATGACACATCAATATTGCTTACAGAGTACATATCAATATGTATGCAACATTAGACAGCAACACACATTTTAATGTCTTACTTTAAAACTATTTCCTCTACTTCTTTTTTATTCATTTTAATTGGGATCCTTGATATTCCTTCTTAGGGTTGTCATGTGGTATTAAAATTATTATTATTATCGGGACCAATTAAATGCTAAAATATACTTAAATTCAATATTTTGTTATCAATATGCACAGGAGAATAAACTAACGTGACCACCCAGCACACAAGTTGTGATTGACTTTGCTCATTGTTTGTTTCCCTAAGTTCACTAAGGCAGCCATTATTGTCACACCGATTTGTGAAAGTGGCTTCTTTCAAGTTCAAGTGTAAGATTTGAATCTAAAGTGCCAAGTCAGAAGTGCTTCATCAACATATGTTTTATCGTCAAAAACTTGGCTGGGCAACTACCATCATCAAATAAGTGATAGAAAATTGACAAAACAAAGGGCTATGTATGTGTACTTTCATCAAACAGTGTAATTGGACATTTGAGTTGATTCACTCGAAGTTAACATTCATATTTTTTTTATTGTGCATTTCGTGGAATCACAACATTATAAGCTCATAATCAGAGTTAATTAAATTTAGTGTAAATATATTAATGTAAATGTTTTTCCGGACATAAAAGTTCCCGGGTGACAACGCACAATAAATTGTCAACACTGTGCTGCAATGCTATGGAAACCATAGATCGAGTAATTTCGACAAAATGATAATAAACAACTCCAGTACTTGAAATATTCGGGTCAAGTATATGCGAACAGAAATACATTTTCTACTAGTATTTTGAGATATTCTTTATAGTCAAATCTATATTTAAAATTATAACTAAAAATTCAAAATCATTGAATCTCTAATAGTTAAGTTACAAACAAGATCGTCATGTTTCTCTCTATATACGCCTTCTTGTGTGTTCTGAGCAGTGTGCCCTCTAACAGAATCACTTTTTTTCCCCAAGAGCCAAAATATTTCCAAGACTTTTCCAGACCTTTTCCCAAACTTTCTTGCATTTTTCCAAGACATTTTGACCCTTAATTTGGGCCAACATCATCACCAAAGCTCATTTTAAAGTTCTGAGGATATGTTAGTTCTCTGGAAAAAATAGGCCTTTCTAAAATGAATTAATAACTGAAGAAATTTAAAGACTTTTCAAAGAATTTTTTATTTTTCCTATATTTTAAAGACAACTCAAAGACTTTCCAGACCTCAAAAAATCTAAAGACATTCAAAGGATTTTCCCAACGCTATGGACCCTGATTGAAAAATGACAAATAATATGCACAAAATGATTTAGTAGAGGTTTTGTCATTTCATCATTGAAATAAATCAAAATATAAAGACAATTTTGGAATACCTCTGTATTGTAAGATGCTATATAAAAAATTTTGAGATATTGAGATATCCCCTTACCAAACAAAACAATGGTAAAATGCCTTAAAAACTGTTAAAATATGAATTGATATTCTCAGATCCAAGTACAATGACTCCATATATTCCTTTCATTTTCTTCATCTTTGACATAAATGTCAAAATAAATAACACAACATTATTTTTACCATATTCTACCCTGAATGTCAAAGACACTTTTGCATCAAACATGCATCAAGGAACACTGGATAAGACCTACAGCAGATCGGGAGTTGGAAAGCTGCGACAATTGTTAATGGTTTACTTTAAGAAAAGAAAAAAAGAAGCACTCCCATTATCTCAAAGGAGTTGTTAGCCCTCAAAAAACACCAGTATGAATGCATATGCTATTTCACAAATTAGTGCTGAGGGGTGTGTCTACATAAAAAGTACACTGTTACGATTTTACCACTCTGGGCAGCAAAATACATCCAGTATTAAGCCCTACTTGGTATTCAACATATTTTACGCAGATTTTTTTGGCTGAAACACCCTCAGAGGACGTAGACTTTTGCTTGATTTGCTCAGTAAGAAGCATGTATTGTTGTTTAATGCACTTTTAAGTACGCTGTGTGTTTTGTCACCGTTCCTGGTCTGTAGTGATCGCATCACAACTATATGAGGAATTTGACGTGCGGTACAACTTCTTCGGACCATTAAGAAAATATTTTTAATGCTCAGGGTATTTACCACCACAGCAGTACACAAGATAAACTTGTCGTAGCAATTTCCATGGTGTCGAGAGCCCCTCAGGGAAAGTCGCATCCAAATAGAATGAATTTTTTCGGACCTATTTTGGTGATTATTGAATGAGGCGTGAGAGCGGGAGTGGATGTCAATGGCTCAGTCCATAGAATTTGATACTGTGAGACAACAGGTTAGACTGACGAACATCTAAAACACTTAACCTTGATCTTAGACCGAATATACAGATGGACGGATGTTTTATTTTCTCATGACACACGCTAATGTGTAGTACATATTGGATAGTAAAAAAAAAAGAGTCCTCTGGCAATTCTCAAAATTGTATTTCAAAACCATTTAAATGCAAATACAATATTCTTTATGATACTGTGATTTTAGCTGGAATTAATTTTTGCTGAAAAAACATTTTGGGTGTTTTGTGTGGAATTTATTTTCACTGATTTTTGACAAGTTTAATGTAAAATATAGGAAAAACGTATATTCGCTGGATTTTATTTTCACTGAATCATTCCATAAGCAAAAATAGCGAAAATAAATTCCAAGCGAAAATAAAGTATTCTACAGTAACCTTGATCTTAGACTAAATATACAGGTGACAGATTTTTTATTTATTTTCTCATGACACACACAATGTGTGGCTCAAAGTACATATTGAATAGTAAAAAAAAAGTCCTCTGTCAATTCTCAAAATTGTATTTTAAAACTATTTAAAAGCAAAAAAGCAAATACAATATTCTTTATGATAGGTAAAGGTTGAAAAATGCATTTCAAAACAAAACATTCAATACTAGGCTACATAACATAACCATCACTCTATCTGGAGACGTTGATTCCAGGATTTAATATGCATCAGAAGTAGTGACCTGACAGTCAAAAGAACCCCCTTGTTCTGATAAATGAAGCCAAGTAATGCACACTTACACGACAAGGTACCCAAAGAAAGTATTTTGATTTTGGTTGATAAAACCATGCCCACCCAAATTCAATCACTAATACTGTTGATATCATTAGTTAGACCACTTTTGGGGCAAAGTCAAACGTTTCTGATATTTATCCACAATTCTATACAAATGAACAGTTTGGTTGAACATGGTGCTTAACTCAAATAAGATCATAAATAAAACAGGCAAAGGGTACAGCATCTCCAAAAAAAATAATTTACAGTTAAAAAAATTCAATCAAAGGTACACACATGTTGAATATCAATGACAGTGGACAGTCACCTACCGGTACTAGTATATCAACAGCACTGGAGTTAAAAATGAAAAGAAATATTTTAAACATGCATGTCTGTGGCAGTAAGAAAGTATTCCACAGATACAGAACCAAATCCATGTGATTAAAGTAATTCTCACCTCAAAAATAGGCGTTTCAAGACGTACAACTAGAGGGACCTTTGTTAGGAAAAAGATTTACACGGAACTTGTATGCGGTTTATACATTCTACACAGTTGAAGTGTTATACCTGTGTATAATGGGTGATCCTGAATGAAAGGCGAGATAACTGTGGGGAACATAAACAAAGACATCTCACGTTCTCCTGCATACACCTGAACTAAGTGTTGTTTTAGCACATCTGTAATTGAAGCTGTAAACCAGGTGAGATTGCCATCAGGTGCAATTAATGATCTCACTATTCTACTATTATGGACACTTGATATTTCCATTTCCATCAAGATAGTAATCCAGGATCAGTGTTTCATTCTTAACAACCATAACTTCAAACATCAAACACATTTCCTAAGTCATTAACAATGATAAGCTACTCTGCGTACGACACCATACTGCTCCAATGTGAGAGTACCAAACACAATGATTCCTCTCACCACCCCCTGTGAGTGCGGTACAGAACACAATAACTTTCACCACACCCATGTGAAAGCTAGTATCACAACAACATAGCTTTCATCACTGCCATTATAAGCCTCTATCGGGAGTACCTCAACTTCAGCATTACAGCTGAAATGCATTTTAAACTAGCAACTCTATAATATCAGTCATCTCATCAACTTTGATCATGAAAAAACACAATTTTGTACGGTAATGCCAGAGAGATAGTGACATGCTCTTATTTGTTGTTGTTTTAAAGTTGATTTTACAAGATGCAAGGCATGCCGACAGAAGAGCATGTAGTTAGCCCTGGGGATATTCAGCAGTGACATTGTTACTCTGTACTACAGTCTAGGTGTGTTATACAATGACTGAATGTTACTTTATTTACAAGGACTTCAAATACAAACAGAAATCATTAAGTCACATCTGAAACTAGATTTATAGATTCCATAGTGCCCTGCCAACCACCTGTATATACACAACTTGCTAAGCCCAGCATTGTAGAGAGTACAATTATGTAAATAACTTTGAAGTTATATCTCTCTAAGAGAGTTGCATGATGGAAGTGAATTACCTAGTGCAATCATCTCCTTCTTCCTGTAAGTTTCCTAACTCCAAGCAATCATTTTCTGCCTCATCCTTGAAGCTGCCTAACTCCATGCAATCATCATCTGCCTCATCCTTGAAGCTGCCTAACTCCATGCAATCATCATCTGCCTCATCCTTGAAGCTGCCTAACTCAATGCAATCATCATCTGCCTCATCCTTGAAGCTGTCTAACTCCACGCAATCATCATCTGCTTCATCCGGGCAAAGCTGCCTAACTGCATGCAATCCTCATCTGCCTAATTCAGAAAGCTGCCTAACTCCATGCAATCATCATCTGTCTCATCCACAAAGTTGCCTAATTCAATGCAATCATCATCAGCCTCATCTGGGAAAACTGCCTAACTCCATGTAATCATCATCTGCCTCATCCAGAATGCTGCCTAACTCCATGTAATCATCATCTGTCCAATCCAGAAAGCTGCCTAACCTCCATGCAATCATCATTTGCCTCAACCAGAAAGCTGCCTAACTCATAAATTACAAGAACAAAACAATCATCTCAGACCGATTTCAGTAGTGCCCTTGCTGATTTACAAAATGTTTAATAAGGGCGTTTTGCATTTTAGAATGCAGCTATAATCTCACTTATTACTGTTAAACCATTGAACATTTCCAGACACCCACTGCCATCTTTGAAATTATTGATTAAAACTATGTTTGTTTGATGCACACAGGATGGGATTGTTTTAAAACATCTGCAAGTCATGAAAGTTCACTTCTTGTAAGATCTTCATTGCATATCACCATATATGGTTATGAAAGTTGCAGACTCTTATCTGATAAACATTTACTAGTGTTTTCGTAAATCACAGGTGTTTCTATGGTCAAAATACTTTAATGATTCAGTAAACAACAAAATGCAATCGTTAGTTTATATATATGTTTTACTTTTATTTAGTTAGTTTTTATCATTTTAGTCTTTTGTTATTTGTTACTTTTACCTTACTAAACCCCCTGATGGTTTTGGTTGTGTAATAAAGTTATTGCTATTATTGCTGTATACACTTTCATACGATTGTGCTTGGTACACTTCTAAGGTGGCCAAAGTATCAACTGTGGAACATATGACATCACATCGTGCCCAAATATGGTGAGGAAACATGAAGAATACAGAATCCTGTAACTATTAATGAAAAACAGAGATTTTCAAAAACAGGTTTTGAATATTGAAATAGACGAAGAACATGGCAAGAAGAAAACAGAGTCATAAATAACGATGACTCAGCACATCACAATGTCTAAAAATCAGGTGGACTGCACCCCATTGTCAGAGATAATTGCTTGTCTTGATTGATTGTTTTTGTTTTTATTAACACCCATTAGTATCAATTGGAGATTTAAGTCCCCCCACCCACCAAACTTTCCTAAATAGAATAGAATAGAATAGAATAGAATAGAATAGAATAGAATAGAATAGAATAGAATAGAATAGAATAGAATAGAATAGAATAGAATAGAATAGAATAGAATAGAATAGAATAGAATGTACATTTTGTCATTTACAACTCAAATGAAAGTTTCTACAATATAAAATGTAATGTATTGTTTTGTAATGGCTGACTTTATGAAGTTTGTCAGTATTGCCAGAACTTTGTTTGAATGTCAAAGTCATTAAAATGCTCCAGGCATTACTGGTTGTCCCTCATTTCTATAATTTTTGCAATTTGTCTACCTCCAGGCATGTCCGCTGTCTATTTCTTATTTTTTTATGTCTGTTTATTCATAATGGTCTATCTCTTCTCTGTTACTTTATAAGTAGATGTATTCAGCTGCTATGATTTGTAATTTGGAATCAGGTCTCATACATTTATCATTTTATCTGATAGTGTAGCTTCAATTGTTCATAAACTCTTCTTTAGTAACCATATTTTGTTTTTTTAAATGATTTGTTTTACCATCCTCTTTAGGTTTGTTAGCCATGAATCTGGAAAGTTATGTTACTTCAATTTGCTCTATAGAGCATAGAACACACGACCCCTGTGTTTTTCTTCTGTGATATTGTATTGCTATATAGTGAATTGTAGATAGCAAAGGCTATCTTTCTAGTTCCATTCTTGATCAAATCCTGCTAGTATTTAACATTCAACACATGTCTACAGAATTTCAGATGGTATTTTTTTTTTTTTTTTTTTCTGTAGGAAATGTGTTCAAGCCACATTCCGCTCAAGAGACAAACTTTGCAATTTGTTTTGCTTTTGTTTATTTGAGACTAACAGCGTTAGTCAATGTCTGCAGGGAGGAAATTCTGGTATATAAACATAATTGCATGAACAGTGAGAGGCGGTACATCACAAAAAACTCTGCTATTTCATCCACAGTTACAATGGACTGCATCCCATTGTTGGGAATAATTGCTTGTCTTGATTGTTTTTTTTAACACCAATTAGCAACAACAAAAAGTATCAATTGGAGATTTAAGTCCTCCACCCAGCATTCCTGTAGTGATTAATTACTACACTTTAATACTGGTAATTGTTCAAACTTGATTTACTGTAGAACACTTTATTTTCGCTTGGAATTAATTTTCGCTATTTTCGCTGAAGGGATGATTCAGTGAAAATAAAATCCAGCGAATATACATTTTTTCCTATGTATTACATTCAGTGAAAATAAATTCCATACAAAAGTGTTTTCAGCGAAAATTAATTCCAGCTAAAATATAATATTTTACAGTAAGCATATATGGACCTATTATACACACATAGGTGAAAGCACTTTGATATGCATAGCACTAAAAGTGCAATAATGTGAAAATACTGATTTTTATGTCCAAGTGCATGCCACAGTTTGTAACAAACCATCTACTGTAAAATACTTTATTTTCGCTGGAATGACTTTTTATGTGTGTTATATGGAAGTTATTTTCAGCGATTTTTGGTGCGTTAAATGTAAATGATAGGAAAAAAGGTATATTCGCTGGATTTTCTTTTCACTGAATCATTCCTTCAGTGAAAATAGCGAAAATTAATTCCAAGCAAAAATAAAGTATTCTTCAGTATATTTTTGTGAACCTTAAATGAATGAATGAATGATGAATCAAACTTTAGTAATAAATATTTCGTTATCTAAGACAGATCTACATCACATCGCCCAAAACACTGCCAGCTTCAATCACAAACAGAATGCTTTTTGATTAACCTTTTCATCACCAGACTTCCTCGCCACAATTTTTATGTACCTTTTTCTTATACTCTTCAAAATTTCTGGAAATGAACCCTAATTATGGAGTCAACAGACAAAATTTGAGTCAATTTTCAGTTTTTTAGCAGTGCAGACTATTTTGCATGGTATGCATGAAAATAAGTGCAGTACAAGCATATGCTGATTGAACAAAATAGCACTGTTTGAAACAGAGAGTCGGCACATCACACAAAACAAGTGTGTGTAAACATAGAAGCACTGTGAAAATGGCTTGTCTTGATTGTTTTTGTTTTTACAGTACTAACACCCATTAGCAGCAACAAAGAGGTAATTAAGTTCTCATTGCATACTATCACCACTCTATTGTGTTCAATTAATTGGTGACAAAGGGAATCCTGGCTTTGATGTCTTCAAACTAGTTTACAAATGGTAGTCTAAAGCCTTGTTCACACATGTTACAAAAATGGAGGGCTAGATACTGTAAAACCATCCTGACATTTAATTTCACTATTTCAATGTTTTGAGCATATTCACTGTGTTTTAATTCCACAAATTTGTTAAGGAAAGAATGAGTTTCATTGTTATTTTACATGATAACGTAGGTTTAATTTAGCGGATTTTACTCATTGATGAAAATAGCAAAATTAAAACCCAGTGAATAATTAATGCATTTACAGTAGCTTTGTAAAAATCCCTTATCAGTGGGCTAAACCTGCATTCTGTCCCTATGTGACATAAAAGATGAAATACACTTCCTTTTGGTATGTCCAAAATACCAAACACATCGAAAAGAAACTCTTTCAAATATTACATTCCCCAAAGAAACGATCATCACTAATTTACAGAAATTCATTTATTTAATAAAAAGTAATTTCAAAAATACAATTGAGGTGATTTTATTCACAATTCTTCCATTTTAAGAAATGAGCATTCTCTTGATTTGCAATACTGACACTTTCTTTTACTATTACATTTATTTTAGATACATTATTGCTATTAACTGATAGAAAATGTTATTTCTAAGTATACAATAAAAATATTAATATTATAAGTTGCAGTGGTTTATATTTAGCTTATTGTGTCCTAATTATGTCTTATTCATCTACCATTGGCTGAAAGAATATTGTTTTATTTAACTCTGAGACCTTGTTCACACATGCTTCATCTCAGAAGTAAAAATGGAACTCACGGCAGAGACCAGCCTTCTGACTCCAAGCTAAACTAACCGAGTTTATCTGTTTACATATGTTTTCCAATAGGGGGTTGCAATTAACTTTTGTTCCAAGCCTGTATTTTACTACCTGTAAGAATCTCATAAAGTCTCCCAATAAAAAAAGTGTTATACCAAATTCCAAAGTGCCAAATTCCAGTTGCATGCAACCATATACTACATAGATACAGTTATTACGAGGTATCAAACCCCTACTATAAACTGTTATTTTAAACAAATTCGACTACCGGTATAACAGAAAGAAACAGGTAGGCTAAATAAAGTAAAGTCTATCATTGAAAGAGACAATTAATCTATTTGCATTTCACTTTTAAACAACTACCGATATTCTAGCTTTATTTTTGAAACACTTTTTAGCATCCTGCTTCCAAAAACTCTGTATATTTGTAAATATAAACAAGCGAGCTTAGTAGAAAATCAATAGCAACACCTGCACTATGTTCACAAAAGAGATAAACACGGTATCTTACGATGTAAACTGAGAACATAGAAACCAAAACACAGATGATTGAAATTTGAAAGAATACACCTTTTTCTCCCTTTTTCCATTTATTTCAAATTCAACTCATTTAAATTAAATTTAATTAAGTTTGTTTATTTCCCCACCCTATTCAGAGCACATGGTCCATTGATACGGCTGTTATCACAAGCCCTGGTGTTGTTAGCCCTAAATCACTTGTAAACATTTTCTCACATGCTACAAGAAATCACAATGTGCAAAGTCAGCAAAACTTGATTAATCAATCAGACGTATCAATGAGACGATCTTAAAAAGATGTGCTCTTGCACACAGATCTCTGATTGATCGGAAAACCTGAAAGGACTCAAATTTCCAGGTTTTGTCTAGCGTTTCCTGGTAGTTCATTGTTTGTCATTTTGAGGTAATTGGGTTTTAAAGCAAGTGTGGTTAGTTGTAAAAAGAGGTAATTGACAATGACTGATGTCATTACCTTCATCTTTTATTCTCTTCACGAACGTGTACCACTCTGGCAATTGCTAATGTATACCACAAACATTACCATATTGTATCATCCATCCTTATACAGGAATCTGAAGTGTGTCCCCTGAGCTGATAAGATGTGCCACTGACTAGTTTTGCTAACTACTTGTGCTAATTCAATTGTATATTGATATATTGATATGGGGATTACATTTTGACTCCCTACAAATTCTACTATTTGACCTAGGTCAAGATATAATTATAATTCCATGATACATAATCAGACTACCTGATTGGTGAATGTCTACTATTTGACCTAGGTCAAGATATAATTATAATTCCATGATACATAATCAGACTACCTGATTGGTGAATGTCTACTATTTGACCTAGGTCCAGATATAATTATAATTCTATGATATGTAATCAGACTACCTGATTGGTGAATGTCTACTATTTGACCTAGGTCAAGATATAATTATATTTCTATGATATGTAATCAGACTATCTGATTGGTGAATGTCTACTATTTGACCTAGGTCCAGATATAATTATAATTCTATGATATGTAATCAGACTATCTGATTAGTGAATGTCTACTATTTGACCTAGGTCAAGATATAATTATAATTCCATGATATGTACCTACTATTTGACCTAGGTCAAGATATAATTATAATTCTATGATATGTAATCAGACTATCTGATTGGTGAATGTCCACTATTTGACCTAGGTCAAGATATAATTATAATTCTATGATATGTAATCAGACTACTTGATTGGTGAATGTCTGTAATTATAATCCTATAA